TCTCAAATTGAGCCATATGGGATCTGCTTTGGTTTTCTCCAAGCAGGAATATCTTCCATGGGGCTGCCGATGCCGCCGGCAGAGCTGGCAGGTGACGGCTCCGGCGCGAAACAACCCATGGCTCAGGCTCTATCTTCAATTCCCAATAAATTAGTGCCGAGCACAGCTTCAGATGTTAATTGCCAGAGAGAAAGGGATAAGTTTGGACATAATAAGGCAGGGGGAGGAGGATAGCTCCATGCCTTTGGCTGCATTTCTTATATTAATTGCAGCTTCACAGGGATGAACTTTGTAGCCCGCACCCGAGCGTATAGTCAGCTGGAGCTTTATTAAGATTTTTTGAGCGATGCTCTAAGCAGAGAGCCCCGACGAAGTCATGGAAAGCCAATGCCAGAAATAGAAAGCTGTGCAATCTGCAACATATGATACTCTGCAGCCAGCTTGAAGCACATGCTGAATTAATCCCCAATTTAATTAACGCTACTCTAATCCTTCAGTGAAAAGAGCAGCTCAGGATTTGTTTGGAAACACTGTCCTGTGTACAGTAGCGTACATTAATGTATTACAAAATGCAGTCATCAAGGAGTTTTTGCTGTATTCCCACCTTGGGATGCACTAAGAAATTAATTTACAGGCACTGTCCTCTGAAAAGTGGGATCAGGGATTGAGTGAAGGTTTGTGGTTGGGCTTCCCAGCATCACACCATTAGTTTTAAAACCGTAAGGTACCAACCAAACCCCAAGTCGCTGGAATTTAAAGTTTTTCTGCCATCTGAGCCAATCAAAGGGTTGTCAGGGTGATTTTTCGCCCCATTGATGGCTGATTACAAGAAACAGGCTTAATGAAACAGCAGCGACAGCCTGGACCGGCACTCAGCCCCATGTCTCCGGGAGGTACCACTAGAAGAAGCCATTCCAAGTGATGCTAAAACAGGAAAATCTGGGAAAACCATGGCCCGGACATATCTCTGGGGATGTTCACCCCCCTGACTGCACCTCTCCAGTCTCAGGGTGACAGACAGGGTTTGCCACAGAGCTTTTTTGGGTTTGCTCTACCCAGGGAGATTCATTTTAGCAAGCTAAGTGCCCCCAAAACCAGACCGTCTTGTGCTTCTGGGGCCTGTGATCTCTTCCTTTTCCTTACACTTGCAGCAAATATTTCACCCCCAGTAACGCTTCTCAGCTCCAGCACGGAGCTTGGGAACGTTTAAGATGCAACTAATGAGGACTGGTCCAGGCATATTCCATCAAAGGGGTTTATAGTTGGGCTTTTAATTTTTCTCTCTTAGCAGAAAACAGCTATTTTGGAGAAAATGAATTTTTAAGAGAAGTGACAGTTTTTCAAAGCCAGTTTCATGTTTATGATTTCATCCTTGCGTGTTTTTCTTGCAGGGAAAACAGTAAGTGCTAACTGGCTTTTGACAGTTTTTCTAAAAAAAAAAATGCTGTTTGTTTTGCTCTTCTTGCTATTATCAATGTTGAAAATTAATAACTGTGTGTTTTAAAACTGAAATTTCTTCCGTGGCGTAGAAAATGCCTACCTATCCGTGATTACAACTGGCTACATGCCAGGATTTTCTATTTAAAATTACAAACCCTGTCGCTTTGAAGTCTCTTAGGGATACTTGCAGGCTGTATCTGGTTTGCTTGGTATGGATGTACAAGGGTTTATCCGCAGGTGAGCCCGGGCACGGCACCCAGTCATGGGAAATACGTGGAATTAAGTCAGAGCTGAACAGAGCCAGGGCAGGTGCAGAAATGGGCAGAATAATTTCGGATGGAAAATGTTTCAACAAAACAGTTCCCGTTGCCCAACAAATTAGACTAAATAGAAGCTTTCTGCTCCAACTTGTCAGGTAATTACTGAAGGAAGCATATGGTATCTCCTCTGAAGTGTTGGAAGGGAATCAACACCAGGAAAAGCTATGGAGCCAGGTGGGATCCATCGGAGTGGGCGTCATGTGGGAATACCAGGATCGGGATTTACGTTGGAGGAGTTGGTCGGTGCTTGGGAGAGGGTGCGAACCCATTCTGGTGTGTGTTTGCCCATGGGACTTGGGCACCTGGGTGCCGAATCAGCTGCGGTGATCAGCCCAGGGCTGCTGCGGTGCCGTTGAGCAGCGATGAGGTTGGCTGGGGACGTTCTGTATTGCCAAAGGTTTTGGGGAAAGCTGGCTTCACCCTCAACGCTAGGGTGTTTTGGAGGGTCAGCAGGGAGGAGACCCTCAAATAAGACCCTTACGGGTGGGCAAATGCAGGGCTTGAGCAGACAGCAAGAGAGCTTGGACCTGTCAGCATCCATCTGATGTTTCTGGGAGCAAGGGGAGCCCAGTTATCACTGAGCAAGGTAAAGGCAAGGCAGGTTTTTGTGATGGTGGGTCCCAGTAGTAGCGTTGTGTTGCTTGCAATAGCCCACATCATGGGAAGGCGGTGGGGAGTGATTTGGGTCATGGTCATGGGGTCTTGAGCAGAAGTGGAGGCCAAGAGCAAGGATGGTCAGTGTCATTGTCGTTCTGGGAGGTTACAGTGTAGGGACAAGCCAAAATAAACTCGTCCTCTCTGTGCCGGTATCCCACCAACATGGGATTCAGAGGAGATGCACTCAGGCTCGCATCCGCCACGTGCCACCCCATGCAATAGCAATGCTCCATGCCCTAAATCATGACATTATTTAGATACCAAAAGCACTTTTGTCACAGGGAGGCAAAAATAAATAATTACTTTGCATGGAACGCTGCAGAGCCAATGCACAGGCAAGCAGATTAGCGAGGGCACCAGAGGCATCAATCGATGGGAGTGTGTATTCAAGAGCGAGCCTTGCAGCTCAGTACATCTCTGGCTGGTTAAAAGTCCAACTCCAACTGGTTGGAGCTGAGCCCTGACCAAGCACATGGAGAGCTCACCACCATCCCAGAATTTCACAGAAGTATGCAAGGCCTGGGGAGGTAACTGTTTTCATAAATCCTATTTATCTTCAAATTGTTTTCCTGTGCCTTAGATAGAAAAGCTGGGCTGTAAAAGGTTACGTATTAATAGCCTGCTCCAGCCGCTTGGGCTGGAAAGGCTGCTGGGATCAAATGTGTGAGATGTGGAGATGCTGCTGGTGGAAACAGCGGTGCCGGTGCAGAGCATGAAGTTTTGGGTAGCCAACATGTAAAGCAGCCTTGCTGTCAAGAGTGGGGCTTTTAAAAATGTTGTTCATTCCCAAAAACTGAATGAAATGTGTGTTTTGGTTTGTGGTTGGCACGGAGGGTTTGTTTGCCCAGTGCAGGGTGAAGGTGACAGCAGCGTGTCTGACCGAGGGTCTCCAGAGGTCTCTGGTCCAACCTTCTTGGACCAACACTTGATCGGTTTGGTCGTGACATTGCCTAGCTGAGTGTTGAAGCCTCGGAGGATGGTTAGCTATAAAGGAGGTAGATCAGAGCACTGTGGATGCTCACGTTTAGCCTCACAAATCCAGGCATAAGCCCATTCCCACCCCTGCAGTCTCTGTCTGGTTTCATTTGCCTTGGGAGCTACCGGGTGAGCAGGGTCCAAGAAAGTCCTCTTGGGAGAGGACAGCTGATCCCTTTGCTGCCCAATTGAGTCGGCAGAGTTGCATCCTCTTAAGCAATGCGTTCCTGAGGTCTGTAAACCTCATAGCATCCAGCATCACCTTATTCGACCCTTGTCCTTCGCCTCTGCCAAAATCATCCCATGGTCTGGTGTCTTCCGCTGGCGTCTCCTGCTGCACGTCTTTGTGCAGCCCCTGGTATAACAGCTCTGTGGCTGGGATTCCTTGGTGCTGGGTTTCTACCCGTGCTTCGGGTTGAATACAGCGCTGTTAAAAATCGGAGTGCAGAATAAAATAGTAGAAAAATACCAAGGAATAGTAAGAAAATAAAGAATGATTCATCTTTAAACAGAAGCTCTTTAGATGTGGAGGTGGCATTGCTGGCCACAGGCATGGATTCATACTAGCGGGTAACTCAGTTTTTAGGCCAAATTATGCACAGTTAACAACTTCCTTTGCAAATGAGCCCCCCCACCCCTTAGTCCCATATGCTCCCCTAATTTGTTGGGATGCGAGACCGTAGCAGCAATGCTAAAGAGGGAGAGGTTACGCGCCCCAGCTGCGTGAAGATGCCTGTGTGATAAAAGGAGCCCAAAGTGCTCGTATATCACACTCGGGTCTGATTTGCATTCCATTAATTCTGCTTCAGAAAGTCTCTTTTGGTTGGTTTTAGCTTCTAGTGGAAGAAGGGGACTGGCCTCGAGTTACTTGGTATTCAGCATTGATTTGGGATGTGGAAACCTCGCATCACCCATAACTCGGTGATGTGTCTGAGCCCAAGCGCTGCAAATGCCTTTATCCAGCTTGGAGCAACTTCAGCTGCCAAAAACTTGAGCTCCTTTGAATGTAACACACTTTGTTGTTGTTTAATTACCTACGTTATCTCCCAAGTGGCCTCAGGCTGTGTCAGAGATGGGCAGGGGAGGGGGGGTGTGCCCATTTTTTCAGCACTGGAGAACTTACGGATAAGAGAAAGGTCTCTTTTTGGGGGAAGGAGGAGTTTATTTGTTTTAGTAATATGGGAATGCACTCTGTAATTTAAGTATCACCTAGAAAGTAGATGTGAGCTCCTGTTTTCTCTAGCTTGGAAGTACAGACCAAGCTGGAGAAATGATGAATCTCTGTGTTACAGGGAGGGTGAGCCTTTGGGATAGGCAGCAGTGTAAGGACCAGGAGCCTGAAGATGCTCTTGGTCCCAGTGGGCAGCAGTGATGATTTGGGCTGAGTCTCAGGTGTGCTCTGCTCATGGCAAACGCTGCTCCTGGGTTTCCTTCCTCGATGCCCAGAAGTCTGGTCATGCAGGTGGAGCATTCCCAACTACTTGTCTCCAGCTTTTGAGTAGCGCAGATTCACCAGGTACAATTTTCCGTGGAGGGGCAAACGCACTCATGCGGGTGGACACCATCCCAGCCACCACAGCCCACTAACGTCCCCCCTTCTTCTTCCAGAGGAGACAACGTTCGAGGCTGGAGTCAAAGTCCAGATCCACAGCCAGTCTGAGCCACCCTTCGTCCAGGAGCTTGGGTTTGGGGTGGCCCCTGGATTCCAGACCTTTGTGGCCACCCAAGAGCAAAGGGTAAGTCCTAAATTTCATTTACACGCCAAGATCCCTCCAGTGGATCCATACAAGAGGTTATTTCCACCTACTGATGCCCCTTGAGAGGCATCTTCATCTCTAACAACTACTTTTATGCCTTGCTTCAAATTGGTTGGGATGAGGGCAGCTTTTTCAGCGTTGCTTCCCATGCATTGCCCAGAATCCTTGTAATTTTGGCCACAGAAGGGACTTCATCCCTGGTGACTTCCATGCCTGCTCTCTCATGGTTATGGTTCAGCTGTGATAGTCGCTCAGTGTGTTGGGTACCTTCCAACCCGCCGAGAAAGGACGCGTTTTGCCAAAAGGCTCTCACGCTCCAAGGATATAAAAAGAGACAAGAGAAGAGTGTTTCATTATGTAGATCAGCGTGAATCCTTTCAGGTAACACAGAAATTGTCACGTTATTTATTATAAATTGTGGTGGGATGCTTGTGGTTCGGGATGCATCACCCTCCCTGACTCCTGACGGTGGCCTGTCATCACGGTGCGGATGGATGTGATATGACATAGCATCATTAGACCCAAATCCTGATTAGACATACAGAAAGCCAGCCAGTGGAATAATTTTTTCCCCCCAGCTTGGCCACAGTGCTTTCATTCCTAGCTCTCCTGCCTCATTGCCTCTCTCATTTTCCTCCCTGCTCTTGCATCCACCCTCAAATGAGCTATAAATCAAGTAGAGGAAAGCGACCACGAGCTGTTGGAGGGTTTGCTCTGATTAAACCTCTGTGGAGATCAGAGCTGCAGTCGTTACACTTCAGCTCAGAGCAACGTGAGGAATTCACCACCAAATATGTCGTTAGGGCATCTCTCCATGGCCATCGGGTACCAAAATACACCTGAAGGTGCTGCATTTCAGCGAGCCTGGATGCAGATCTTCTCTTCTTCATTATGGCACGCTCATGTGTAATCATCCAGGAGATAACGAACGGTGTGGGTTCCCGGTGGGCGAGCGCCAGGTGGAAAATTCTCAATTAAAGCAGAGAAATGTTTCACTGTTGTCAGTTCCTATCTTGTGGGAAGTCCGGTGGGCTGGAGAAAATGAGCCAGCTTTATTAGCGCGCAGGGCTCTCGTTTGGAGTGTAACACCTTAGTAACAGCAAAGGCAAAGGGCTCTTCAGGGGCTGAGGCAGCAGCTGCTGAAGTCCAAAGCAGAAGTGGGCTTGGAAACCCATCGTGGGTGGTTTTCACGCCCATTCCATTGACACAAGCCCTTCCATGCGTCCCCAGCATCCTCACCTCGCTCCATAGCTGCCTTCTGCTGTCCCACGGGCCCCGGCAGCATTTGGCATTCATTACATGGGGCATGCTGCGAGGTAAAGAATCTGAAAGGACGGAAAACCGATTAATTACCGTTTGCAATGATTACTGGGCGTTGAATGCCTTATCTGTTCTCTCTCCCAGGGGCCTGTCCTGAAGCAGCCCAGGGATCTCCAGACACCAAGGCAGCGGTGCTGGGGTCAGCCCGGTGCCCGTAGCTGCCATTGGCAGATGCAGCGCAGAGCAGTGGTGTCTGGATACGGCCCTGGGGTTAGGGCTAGGGACTGGGTATCCCCCACAACGGCGGCGTATGGGAGTCCTTCCCGTGCCAGCAGCTGGCAGTTGGCTCGCAGATGCTGGGTTACCCCAGGGAGGACAAGTGACTTGCCAAAGGTCATGGAGGAAGTCAGTGTCGGAGCAGAGAGTCCCATGTCAACCTAGCTATAAGGAAGACTTTTTTTACAGTGAGGGTGGTGAAACACTGGCACAGGTTACCCAGAGGGATGGGAGATGCCCCATCCCTGGAAACGTTCAAGGTCAGGTTGGATGGGGCTCTCAGCAGCCTGATGGAGTTGAAGATGTCACTGCTCATTGCAGGAGGGGTTGGATTAGATGATCTTTGGAGGTCCCTTCCAACCCAAACCATTCTGTGATTCTATGTCAGGGCAGATGCTCTCCATCTAGAGCACAAGTCTGATGGGGAGTGGCTGAGGGAGCTGTGGGGGGTTTGGTCTGGAGAAGAGGAGGCTGAGGGGAGACCTGATCACTCTCTACAACGACCTGAAAGGAGGGGGTAGCCAGGTGGGGGTCGGTCTCTTCTCCCAAGTAACCAGGTATAGGACAAGAGGAAATGGCCTCAAGTTGTGCCAGGGCAGGTTTAGATTGGATATTAGGAAGAATTTCTTTACCCAAAGGGTTGTCAAGCCCTGAACAGGCTGCCCAGGGAAGTGGTGGAGTCCCCATCCCTGGAGGTGTTTAAAAGCCGTGTAGATGTGGTGCTTAGGGACGTGGTTTAGGGGTGGGCTTGGCCGTGCGAGGTTAACGGTTGGATTCGATGATCTTAAAGGTCCTTTCCAACCTAAACGATTCTATGATTCTATGTTGGGGTCTTGCATTTCCATCCCCAGCATGCCCACGCCTTCGAGCGAAGCCCTCCTCTTTTCTCAGCAGCAAAGAGCAGGAGTTTTGTTCAGCAGCTTGTCAGCTATGAAAAAATACCTCCAGCAGAATCAGCACCCCCTTACTGAAACCACATCAGCTCCAGAGGAAAGTGAACCACGGAGATGCCGAGGCTGGCGATCGAGAAGGGCATCACCAGCCGTTTACGTGGTGCTCTGCATGCCCCGAGAGCAGGCGGGCAGCGCTGGGCAGGGTATCGTGTTGTGCGGTGCAGCCGCCTGATGCTGAGAGTTTGGCAACCCCTCCTCAAATCGAACTCGCCTGGCAGCGTGAGCAGTAATTGGAAAGATTTGTCTTCCTTAAACATCCCAGCTTCAGCAAGATTTGGGAGCATGGCCGGGAACTGGAGCCTGCAGTGAGGATCTCAAGGATTTTGTTTTAAGATAGAAATAGCGTAAATGCTGGAGACTTTTAAGACAGCTGCTGTAAATCTTCCCCATCCTATTGCCAGCATTAACTCTCTCATTATTTCTATTAAAAAATTAGATTTCCTATCAGGAAGACAGCCAGCTGAGAGAGAGGGAAAAAACCCATCCTTCTTCAAATCCCTCCTTCCAGGCAGGGAAGATGCAGATGATGACAAGAAAAAACAGATTTGTGGGGACTCTTAGCTCGAGCGTGTCCCCTCTTCTGCAGGATTTGCTGGAGTTTTGGTGCTGGGAGAAGGACGGGCATGTTTCTGCTTGGGGCCGGGGGTTCTGCAACTGGTTTAAAATTATACCACAGGCTGCAACACCTTTACCCAGGAGACCCGGAGGGCTTTTCAAGCCATCTGCCTGGAGCAGCATTCAGCTCCCCGGGTGATGCTGCCTACCCCAATCCCTCCTCTCCATAAAGTCATTTTTTTAATCTAATTACAACCCTTACAGCATACACATGCTACTGCCTCTAATTACCCCACAGGGACCAGCTGGGCATCACCCACCTTCTCAAGTGCTGAATGTACATCTTTTATTCAGACCCTTAATTTAGTCTTTTTTTTTTCCTACTAAATCTCTACAGCTGGAGCAAGCATGTGCTGCTGCTTCGGTAAGTCAGAGCAAACAGTGGAAAAGCCCATGAACATCAGCGGAGGACTGAGTCCGGCCGGTTATTGCGGTTCTAAACCATACATTTTACACCATGAAACATAAATAAAATGATCCTCCAGCTGGAGAGGAATAGAAATAAAGACAAAGAGGAGATTGTTTGACATCTCCCAGCTCAGAACAGCCTCTCTGTTAGTTATAAGCACTTTTCCCAGCGGTAACAACAGTAGGTGTGGAATTGGGCAGACTTGCCTTGACGCGACGTGCATTGTCTTTGGGGTGAAAGAGGTTTATTCGTGGCTGGGTTAGAGGCTCATGGCTTTATTTCTGGCTCTGTTACTACTCCCTATGGCCATGCTCAAATCTATCCCTTCTTTCCCCCCATCCCAGTCTGGAAATAAGAGTATTTACTGGGCTTTACTCACTGATTTCATGCCTTTCCAGGTACGCCAGCGCTTAGTGCCAGTGAGGACTTGTGTCTTGGTGCTGGGGTGATAAATCCTGGATCTTTATACCAAGTGCTTTCCAAAAGCTCCTTGTTGAAAGCAAACTCTGGCTCCATGATAATGCATGATCTCATTAAATCTCCCTTTAAATTTAGCTGAAAAAAGTAACAAAATCCGTTTTTCTCCTCCTTCTGCAGTGGCGGAGCCCTCTGATTCCTGCAGAGTGACACTTTCAAGATACATTTCCCAGTTTGGGAACAATGTCGTGCTGGTTTGCACTAGTAGCAGCATAAGAGGGACTTGGCATGTGTATCAGTTGTGCGTGCTGAGTCAGCAAAAGCAGTCCCGCAAAGGCAATGCCAGCAGGAGCTTTCCTCCATAAAGCATAGTTGTTGGGTTATAGAGGCCAAGCTGTTTCTTCGCTGTGGACTAGTGACCAAAGGGGGATGCTTTCTATCTGAAATCTCAGACCGAAGCGATCCCCTGAAGTTTAAGAGGAGCCGGGACTGAGCTCCCTAAAGCGACTCAGGAGGCAGCGCAGCAGAAGGCAACGTGCGACGGACGGTTGCAATTCAAACAAGAGTGTCTTGATGGAGGACGGTGGAAAACATCCTCTCTGGGTTACTTTCCGTACGCCACGGCAGTGGCTGTGTCTGAATGTAGTGTGAAAGGAACTAGAGTGGTCGATGTGGACGTACGAGACCATAGCTGCTGTTTTCTGGGGTTTTCCCACCATTTTACATGCGGAGAGCCAGGTGCGGTCCCCATCGCGCTTTGCAGCGAGAGATGCTCCGGTCGCGCAGGGGAGCGGTTTCCATGGCAATTGCTGAGTCTAATGAATAAGGTTTGTTTTCTCGTGAATGGGCAAAGCCCTGAGCTGTGCAAGAGCTGGCTCGGGGCACATCGTGCCGTCACCCTCCAGACAGGTCCCAAGGGAGGGCAAGACCACTCCGAGTAGGGGCAATGCCCTTCAGCTCCCGCTGCTCCTGGCTTTGGAGGGATCCACCTCATTTTTTCCCTTTTCGTGGCTCTTTTGGGTGAACGTGGTACTATAACAAACCTCTCC